TTTGCGGTGTTTGATCCACGAGCTCTCTCTTGCTTCTTGTTATAACTTCTGGTGTCTTTTCTGAGTTATGAAGACCCCTATTTATAGTTGTGGAAAGGAAGAGTTGTGATAAGAACAAACTCTTTCCGACCAATCATATTGAAGTGTGACATGGCCGCATTTGATTGGCCAGAACATGTCACTTGCACACGTGGCGCAATTTCATTGGCCTTTTAGTGTGACTTGGCATGCCTTGTCATTTTGACACGTGGCATGATCCTATTGGCTCTTCTGTTTGACTTGGCGTGCCATGTCATTTGACATGTGGCACCAAACTGGGCCTTTAGGAAGATGTCATCTTGGGCTTAATGGAGTGGGCTCATAACTTTAGCCCAATAAAATGGGCTAGCCCAATGGATTAAGACTTATTTATTTAATCCATATATATATATATATATATTTGGACTTATATAATTAATTCAATTATATTAGCCCGTAGTATTTATTTGGACTAGTATGTCTTAAATTTTAAAATATAATCCAAATTATTTTATGGATTTAATTTTAATAAATTTTATATGCCTACAGTTTGTTTCAGAAAGTATTTGTTTAAATTATTTTATAAGAAAACTTAAATCTTTTAAATAAAATTACAACTCAAAAATTAAATCATTAGAAAACTAAAAACTCCAAAAATAGAACGAGACGAAAAAGGGAAGAAGTAAAACATTAACGTGCAATTATTACAAATAAATAAATAAATATACATTAACGTGCCACACGGTTGACGTGGCCGAATTAACACAAGTCGCGAGAGGGTAATATAGGCATATAAATACCAGATATAGCTCCTTTCTCACCTTTTTTACATTGAACTCCGAAATCCCTCGCCGGAGAGTCATAAAAAGACCTAGGATTTGTTGATCACCGGACTAACGCCGGCCATGGCTATGCAAGCTGGAGTAGGCTTAACTAAGATCGTATTTATTGTCGGAGCAGGTATATATATACACTCACACACACACGCGCACACACACACACACACTTGTTCTTCGACTATTATGTTTTTTTTTTTTGGTTGAGATTGTTGCTAATTTTGTTTGTGATTGATTTTAGTAATTTGATCTGATAATATATGTCTGTTGTGTGCATATTAGGGTATACAGGTACTTTGCTTTTCAAAAACGGTAAATTATCTGATGTGATAGGCGAGCTTCAGGTTAGTTCCGATTTGCTTTGTGTTATTTAAATTCTGTTATACAGATTGTACATTTATATATTGTTGTTTGTGCAAACGCGTGCTTGAATGTGTGTGTGAAGGGGCAGAGCTAGCCCTTCGGCTAAGGGTTTGGCCGATCCCAATAGCTTTGGTCCAAACCTTGTCTTAAGAAATTCATTGAATTATGTATAAATTCATTGAAATTGTATCCATCATTTTATTTCTTTTCAACAATGCTGTGACTTTGCTTTTACTGAGCCGAGGATCGGTCTACGTACACACTAGCCTCCCTAGACCCCACTTGTGGGATTTCACTTGGTTTGTTGTTGCTGTATGTATAAATTATTAATTTAAAACCCAGTAATATAGAAGTACTAGAATTCCGAATCCGTAAGTTTGAAATCCTAGCTCCGTCTATGTGTGTGTTGTGTGTTCAGTGAGCTTGGACTGGGTAATTTAAATCGAAATCAACTATTTGCATGGGGTATAGTGCTTTAATCGCGTAATGGCTCAATTTATATTCTAGTAATACCAATTTCTAAATAGATAGCTGAATAAGAGTGAAAATCTGAAAACCAAGGCAAGTTATTTAGTATGTTTTTTGTGAACGATAATGCAACGATTGACTAGGTTTCTTATTGGGATCACTAATGCTGATTGGTAAAATACTTCAGCTACATAGTGGTTTAATTTATGTTCCATTAATTCCCATCTCGAAGTAGATGATTTCAATGAGAGTGAAAACAAAACTAGATGAAGCTATAATATGCCTTTGAAAGTTAGCAGTGCCACAGTCAACTACTGATTATGAGCTACTTTATTAACTAAAACTGCAATGGTGGAATAGTTTTTGAAGGTTAGTTTGTATATTATGGTGTTATTTGAATAAATGTCTGAGGAGTCCTGTGACAAATTGTAACAAGGCTGGATCTATTTGTCAATTTAAAAACTCTTTCTTAGTTTGTTTCCGTGTGCGTTGAGCTTAAGTGTTTCATGTCAATGTTTCTGGCAGAATTTGGTCAAAAGTTATGAAAAATCAGGGGAATCAGATGGTGGAGAATCGGATGTCATTGCTGCACAGGTACACAGATAATATTAGCTTAAATTATAAAGGCTTGGTCTTCTCAAGATTGTTAATGTACTACTCCTAAGTAAGTTACTTTTTAGATGATCAATCATGCTGTGATCTGTTTTATCAATGGAGAATCAACCATCAGAGAATACATTCTCATTTCTATATTTCAATTTTCTTTTAGTTGAATGACAAGATCACTTTGCAATGTAGTTTCTATGAGAACTTCCGTAATTGGCAATAATTTGGTTATATTCTGCACTTTTGCCTCGCATCTTGTTTAAGTGTAGTTTTACAAGTGATATCTGAATTGATTTTGGAGTTGCCTTTGCTTATCATCTTTGGAGAGGGGTCGACAACATTTTCTGTCTAATTTGGGTCGTTGCCTCTCCCTCTGGGAGGTGGATGGTGCCCACAGTATCCAGACATTGTTGCTTAGGCATGAGATGTGGTTTTGTAATTTGTTATGGTGTTAAGGATGAATGTACAGATAAATTTACCATAAATTTATGTAAAATCTGCTGAAACGAAATACCAGTGTTTAAGATCCCTTGTTCATGGGTCGAGAAACGATAAGCTAGTGGTGAGGGGCAGGATGATGATTGTCTGCATGTCATTGTCCCAGCTACCTCTGCTATGGGATCTTTTCGGTCGATGTATAGCAAGATTTGAAATCCACAGCGAATCTTCTTTACCAAAAATAGCTTACGAAGTTGTTTCCCTAGCCCACTTGTCAAAAGAAAAATGTTATCACCTGTAGTCCTATTATTGTGTATAGACCAACTATATATGGGCTTGTGATTTATTACATGGTACAACTGGAATCTAATTGATTTTTTCGTTGCTTTGGCAGGTTCGTAGGTTGGCAATGGAGGTTCGACAGTTGGCTTCGGCACGACCAATTACTGTTCTAAATGGCAGTTCTAGTGGTATCTCTACTATCCTTTAACTGATGCCTTCTCATGCTAGATTTTGTCTATCTTGCTTTTGACATGGAAGAAGTTGCTTTATATTAGATGATGTTCCCTAATTCTCATTTACCCTGGCAGGTGACTGGACATCTCTGATAGTGCCAGCTGCTGCAGTGGGTGCCTTAGGTTATGGATACATGTGGTGGAAGGTGAAATAAACCTTAGATTGTTTATTTGTTAATTTTCCATCTCAAAGGAGATTGTCACTAACGTGATGATTACTACATGGAGGTTTAAATAATATCACATTGAAATACAAGATACTTTAGACTTAATTAATGAAAGATTCAGTGTTCTTTACTTGATAAAAAAGTGAAAGATTCAACAAGAATGTAAACCATCAATATCCGGGTATTTCTTTTGATTCTTTTTGGTATGAGTTCATTAAGTCTAGGGTTCAAGTTTCTTTTTCTCAAAAGCATGAAGGGTTCAAGAAAATTGGATTATGTTATAAATATGCTTGAAGTAAGTTGGGGCATAGGGAGTAATATGCATGTTTTTGTATGTATTCAGTTAGCTGGAGTTAGGTTTATCTTAGATAACAAACCTTCTACAAAGAAGTAGGTGAAAAAAGATAAGAGACGTAAGCGGGAGACACCAAATTTCTGCCTAATTTTTAATATTTCATGAAATGCTTGCCTTCTCTCACCGTCTCTAATTTTATTCCATTTTCTTCACCTCTTTCGCTTTGTAATACTTGCAGGGTCTGTCATTCTCGGACCTTATGTATGTAACGAAAAAGAATATGGCAACTGCTGTTTCAAATCTGACAAAACATCTGGAGCATGTCTCTGATGCTCTTGCTGTGAGTATCTGTCTTATATGCCTATGGTTTATTCATGAGTTCTTTCTCTGCAATCTTGGCAGATACAAGCCTTTCCATGTATTCAAGTTATAACGTGAGCTTGATAGATGCTATTTATGTCGGAATAGCATACTGTTACTTTACCTAAACCCTTACTTCCCCAGGACTCTTGATGTTGGCCAGAAACCTCTTTCCCAAATTCAATTGGTGTGTTTGTGTTTTTCTGAATTTACTTTATGATGTTAAATGACTTCAGGCGGAGGAGGTGGAGAGGAGGGAGAGGAAGGGGGAGCAAGCCCCAGTGTTATCAAAGGCGCAAAGCGCAAAAAAGCTCTAAGGTCAACTGGGGTTCTAAGTGCAAATAAAGAGTGGGCTTTAATGAGTAAAGGCACATATGAAGAAAAAAATACAAATATGGATGTGTAGTCTAAGATTTATAATTATAAGCATGAATAAGAAATATATACAAAGAAATTGGAATTTTTTTATGATAAAGTGATATATCAATTGTTTAGTGTCGCCGCTTTAGGATACGCTCTTTAGCAAGGAAAAGTATGTCTTAGAGCATTGAACGATGTTGAAGCGGCCGCTAAGCGAGGCGAAGCACTCAACATGTTTTGCCCGTCGCTTCAGGGCTTAAACGCGACCTAGAACTTGGAACCTACCTGGATTGATGTGTCCTATATCTCTGCATAAATGTTTGACCTTCTAATTACTGAAATTTACCCTGTCAATTCTTTGGCACTTAAATCAGACTGTAGGTAGAGTACACAAAGTTATATTGGAGATTATTGGACTGGCCTATCCGGGCTTGCACATGCATTGTTTGTTAGTTGCTGCTTCCTGTACATCATGGCAATATGTGCCACTTGTCCCTGCTTCGAGGAACACCCTTTTCTGCAAGATTTTTGAATCTCCAGGGAGTGATTAATTTCAGCTGCCATGGTTGAGCTTCAATTGATAATATAAATTATGGACAAGTTGGCTTAGTTTCACACTGTGGGAATACACTGGGTTGGTTATTGTTATTGTTAGTGTAGCTTAGTGTGGACACACTTGCAGTACGAAGTTCTTGCTTACAGATGCTGTCATTGTAGCTTATTCTGATTAGTTGGATTTTGTTGAGAGAGAGAGAATATGTAGCAGCTGTCTGCAGGAAACAGTAAGTTCAAGGCTACGCAGTGGGGACTGAAATATTAATACGGTCAGTGTGAAGATTATTCCAACTAATCTATACACAGTTGTAAGTTTCTTAAGCTGACTTGGGTCATCAAGTCTATGGTCCTCTTCAAGGGTGATGTGCATTCGAATGTACAGATGATGTATCTCTTTTATTCTTGACTTGTTTCTAAGAGCCAGGCGACGATTTTATTTACAAGAAAGAGGGGGCTAAAATTGAGGGAAGCCTCACATTCATGCTAGTATCAGTTGGTTATTAAGGATCCTGCTACTTTTCTGCATCTTGTGAAACATATAGAGATTTACTTTTGATAAATGTATGTCAGAAATTACATAGCTTCTTCCATGCTACAACTTTGACATATTTGATATTTCAAATGCATAAATTGTATAGGCATTCGGAGTTGTTTCTAAATGTTATAGATGTGTGTTTGTACTTATGTATAGTGTATTGATAATTCAATCTTTTCATATTGTTCTGTTTTGTCCTTTGATCAGGCCACAAAGAAGCATTTGACACAGCGAATTGAGAACGTGGATGGGAAATTGGATGAGCAAATGGAGATGTCAAAACTGTTAAGGAATGAGGTGCAAATCTACTCCACCTCAATTGTTGTCTTTAGTTGTTTATGAGACTTGTCAACTGTTTTCATGGCCCGCACTCCGTTATTTTATTTATATGTTTCTCCTATAGTGGAAATGTCAAGTTCTTGCATAAGAGAATCATATTGCTAGTTTGCCTTTTTCGAAGTTAAAATCACAAATCTGCTGCTATAATGAAAAGTTTGGAGTGTTGGTATAATTGGGTTTTCCTTGTTCTGGAACAGGTTAATGGTGTGCGTGGTGATCTATCCAAGATTGATTGTGATTTGGATGAATTAAAAGGGCTGGTTTATGGTCTGGTGAGTTCTGCTTTCTGGCATAGTGTGATTGCAAGGATTTTTTTTTGTTTTATTTTGAAATTTATGCGGAGTACAAGCCTTTCACATGGGAGGAGAGACGGTGGAAAAGTAACTGTCTGTTCCGGCCACTTGGTCATTCTGCATGTCTATATTAACATATTTTTACGTGTGTATTACATAAATAATATCTGTCACCTAAGTTATGTCCACTGAACCTTTTGTCTCAAATCTTTCTGGAATTGTAGGATGGCAAACTACTATCCTTGGAAGGCAAGCAGGTAAGAAAAAAAGTCTCCATTTCAGCTTTTAGGCTACTAACCTTGTTTTATTATAATTAGCCCAGAAAATGGAAAAGAAACAAGGTTTGAAGTATGGTTTCTGGAGCTTGTAATGAATGCCTCCAAGGTGTCATAATAGATATTTAGTACTAAGAACTGCACTTACTGTTGATAACAGGACCTTACAAATGCCGGTGTCATGTACCTGTGCGATTTTATCAGCGGGAAAAGGGTGAAGATGCCTGAAACACTGCAGGTTCGTAGAATTCTTGACGAGAATAACTTTTTCCACTAAAATGATGCTTCCTCAGCTTTATGCTTTAACAGATTGACTTATTATGCTTCTATTTCACTCCCTCCATTGGATAGAATGGGGGAGTGTGGGTATGTCTAGTGAAGCAGAATAGGATTAAGGATCCTTATTCTTAAAGCAAAGCAGATTTAGACAAAGCTGGTTGTTGACTGGAAACTTATTCTCCGAAAATGATAGGATTTGCTTGAAGTTTTTTGTATTAGAAGTGCAGAGAAATGCTCTCAGGAAATTTATACTGTGATCTAAAGTACCGCAGAATTGGATGTTTGTCGTCATAATTCTGATTCTGGTCCTGGAGTGAAGGTGGGATAGATGGAAATTTTTGCGTTATATAGACCAAGAACTATTTATCGCTTCGCGAAAGTTGAATCAGCATTGAGATTATATATGAGATGTTTTATGGGAAGTCATTGGGAGAGCATAGAACAAGAGATAGTGGACATAGTACTGTTTTTTATGTATAACAACAACAACAACCACCCGGTGTGGTCCCACAAGTGGGGTCTGGGGAGGGTAGGATGTACGCAGCCTTACCCCTACCCTGGAAGGGCAGAGAGACTGTTTCCGATAGACCCTCGGCTAAAGAAGGTGAGAGAAGCCCTGGTAGCAAGTAATAGCAAAACAATAATTAGAAAACTAAATCGGAGATAGCAACAGATAATATGAAAGGGGTACTGTTTTTTATGTATAGACATTTAAAAAAGGAAATATATTTGGTTGATCTGGAAGCTTCTTTTAAAATGGAAATTACAAGTAATTATTGGAAGTAGGATCTCTAGTTGAAGATTCAGCAATTATTTCTTTTTGCTGCGGTGCAGTGAACGAGATAATGCAACTCCATAACCCAATTGTGAACATCCTGTGTAATGAACGTCCTTTCCGGTTTAGTGGCTGATACTTCGACTTTTTTTGTTTATTATTTAACCAGTGCTTATGTGTAGAGACCCCTTTCATTCATCATTTTATATTAACTGTTATATTTTTATTAACTCTACAATTAAATGACGAAAGTGTTATTCCCTAGACGGGGATTTCGGGGGGGTGGGGGGTGGGGGTGGGGTGGGGTCGTCATTACCCCTGAGAGTTCGGAATTGTAAAAGTTTTCTTGGTATTTCAATTCCTAGGAGCGTGCCTTCCTTGTCCTTTTTTAAGTGTTATGACACTTTGATTGTTTAGCATTAATAGATGTTGGTTATCAGTAACTTTTCTAATCTTAACTTCCTGCTGCAGGAACAACTTAAAACAGTGGGCAACTCTATTCCTAGTCTAATGGTACTTTCTCTAACTTGAATTTGCTAGATTTATTTTTCCAAGTATTTTTTTCTTGGTACTCATGTAGTTGCTGTGATTTTGTGTTTATATTTCAATTTTCATGAATGTTAAATGGTATTCGTCTCTTATTCGGAGGAAGGAATCCATCAAGGAACTACCTTGCAAGTGGAAAATGGAATGGAAAGTTTTTTTTAAAAATAAATTCGAAACTTTCTTAACATGTTATGAAATATATTCATTGCCTATTCCATCAACTGCATGGACTACTCCTGCATGCTGGTACACATGTTGATTTCTTGGATATGTATGAAACCAATAAACATTCCTTTAATTGGAATAGACTCTTCAGCACAAGGCTATTACATTCTCTCCACAAACATAGATTCTTTTTGTTACAGTTGCATTATATGTGCCTTTCATCATTTTTGCGAGTAGAAATAACAAGTTTTGCAAATTTGAAGCAGTGTGGATACGGTTGAACCTCTTATGATTTCAGATCGAAAAGGATTGATTGCCACGTGCATGGTTTATATGTTGTGTTACTGCCCATTGTCCATCACCTATTAGCATTCTATGGTTTATATTTCTTCTCACTTCATATGGTTTCGGTGAAAATCAGTAACCTTTATAATGTCACTTGCATTTGACTTCACACAATCTTGTTACAGGGCCTTAAAGAACTTGCTGACTCCTCACCGCAAGCAATGAACAGCATATTTATTACAGAAATTGCTCAAGATGGTACTGATAAGTTGTTAGAGCCACCTAGGCCCCTGTTGAGGTATAGTTTCAGAACTCTTTCTTCCTAAATTTAACGCCCCATCCCTACCATTCTCTCTTGTCCTTGAGTTGATGGTGTAGCCGCAATTTTAAATCCCTTTTTAGCACTTCCCTTTTGCTGTTCACAAAATCTGCCCTGGATATGGGAGCATTCACTCTCTATTTCTTATTCTTTTGGAGGGGTGGGTGGGGAGTTACCTATATAGGTGAAGATGCTTATATATCCTCTACCACGCAATAACCTTCATTTTTTCATCTTTTCGTTCATGGATTTAACAGGACGGCCTCTATCAGGTGCTGAATGGTGTTCACCTGGATTGCTTTTGGGTTATATTATATAGAGTTAACCATATCTGCTTTTCACCAGCATACTAATGAATGTTTTCAAATCGCAAGATTTGTACATGCTACTAAGTGGTAGAATACAACAATATTACATTGTTCATATTTCATTATTTAATTGTCTGGGGATCTTACTATTGTTTCTTCACAGCAGGGTTGTATATTCTTTAGCTATTTTTGTACCTTGCTGGGATTTTTATCTTAGTTTGATGCATCCCTCGTCATGTACCTTTCTTTTTACGCTATTTGTTGGGCTGAAGCGCCACTTGTGGGAATTCACTGGTCTTGTTGTTGGACTTATCGACTTGCAATAAGGTTGAAAATAAAATGTTTGATTAAATACTACTTTCTTTGTCTCAATTTGTACTGGGATGCGATCATACTAGCACTAACGCACCGGATCCCATCAGAATTCCGAAGTTAAACGTGCTTGGGCGAGAGTAGTAAAGTTCTCGTGTGCATCCCTCTTTTGAAACAGTAAGGTTGTAGCCTAGCGATCTAGCTGGTTCATCCAGTTCCCATCCTTGCTGACTTTGTTTACTTTACTTTCCAGACTCCGCTTGTGGGATTTCAATGGGTTGTTTGTCTCAATTTGCAACACATCCTTTTTAGTTTGTCCGAAAAGAATGAATAAGTTAATCTTGTATTTTTTAATTTTATATTTAATGAGATGATTATAGCTACACAAGTGTCTGACTTATCTAAATCACACGTCTTAAATGTTTTTCTTTTTTTCTTATAATATTTTATATCTAGTCAAATAATGCCATATAAATTGGAAAAGAATGAATCTATAGTTTGGTGGAATTTCTAGATTAGTAAGAGTAACAGCAAAAGAGAACATGTCACAGTATAATCTAACTAACATATTGCCAAAGCAATTAAAAAGGATTACAACATTTAAAGCAAAAACGATAATTGATGTATCAACTAATTCACGTAATGCTCCAAACAGTACTTGAGGTGACTTGAAGAAAGAGCGATGTAGTTGCCTATGATGATTTATTCCTCTCTTATGTCCTTAAAATCCAAGTAACACAAAAGTAAAGGGTTCTCTCACATTTAAAAAGAGAAGCTATTTTTCTTTCCTTTTCTTCTTATTTTCATTCTCAAGGAACTTATAAATTCGTTTTAACTCGATGTTCCGAGTAGGAGTGGCAAAAGGGCGGGTGTGGTCGGATATGGTTTGGGTAAAAAACGGGTAATTAAAAAACGGATAAATTATTCGATCCGACCCATGTTTAATACGGATAAAAAACGGGCTAACCGGCGGATAATATGTGTAACCATATTATCCATGACTTCTTGCATATGATCACTTTTGGGAGAATTTTTAGTTCCCTAGAGGAACCCCTAATTTGATGTTTTACAAATGTAAAAGTTAAACCCATTGGTTATCCATTGGTTACCCATTGGTTATCCATTTTCTAAATGGATAATATGGTTCTTATCCATATTTGGCCCGTTTTTAAAAAGTTCATTATCTAACCCATTTTTTAGTGGATAATATGGGTGGTTAGCTATTTTCTTTTAACCATTTTGCTACCCCTAGTTCCGAGTTCGAAAAGTTCGTGATGTAGTAATAGTAGCGGTTAGTGTTAGCAAATGGGCGAATTGAATCGGATATGAGCGGATTAAAAGCGAGTTAGACAAAAATGAGCGGATATGTGCGGAGTAATCCAATTGCTCATATTCCAGCCTGAAAATATAGTTTTTATTCTTGAACTACCCATTCAAAGCCCAAAGACCCTGATTTTGTCAAATTCATTTTACTTTGGCCAGACTGCAATTGAGGCAACTTCCCCTAGTTGAGAAAATAAGAACTATTATTTGACAAGTCTATCAATTAAATTTGGAAGCATGAATGACTCCACAAAGCTAGAGTAGGGAGTCGTGCGTCTTCCCTTTTATTACAGTACTGGTAGTGCTATCCTCGTATTTATATGTTGTTAGATTTCTATTACTATCTGAGGATGTTGTGTTTTGATTTTACTATTATTTTGTTGTTGTTACTGCTTCTTTGACTTCTTCACTACTACATATTTTTTTTCTATACTGTTGTGATTGTGCATGCTTGCTTTGAGTCGAGAGTCTATCGCAAATAGCCTCTCTACCTGCACAAGGTATGAGTAAGGCTGCGTACTCTCTACCTGCACAAGGTATGAAACTAGAAATGACTTTGCATTGTGTTTATGTGGTTTAAATAGTAGAGGGAAGCAATACTCCTATCTTTTGTAATGCTCTTAAAAGACTATAATTTTTGAGTCTATTTCCGCAACTAAAAGAAAGATTCCAATTTTTTTTTTGGGGTCTATATTTTGTCAGAAATTATACAGTAAAAATAGGGTAAAATAAATAAAAATTATTTGCATAAAATTACCAAATCTGTTGACATAAGGGTAGCTTCGAATGCATCAGCAAATCTAGCTCAAAAATCACTTTAGGTCGGAGGTAGAATTTCTGACTCCGTCACGGACCAAAGAGCTGAATCAATGGTTGGTAGCACTTGACAATTTCTATTCTCAAATCTCAAATGCCAAAAAAGGAAACCATGGAGGAATAATTACTAGTATTATTATATCTCAGTCCAAAATAAATTAAATTAAATATATAAATTATTACTATTTAATTTAAGCTCAACTCATATCATACTCGTGAAAGATATTTCTTAAAAAGGGAAAGAAACTTGAAAAGTACGACTTAACAAAGCAATAATAAGTTTCTTGATTTAGACTGATTCCACCGCCCAAAAGATGCTTTAGTTGAACATCACTATCTAAAATACTGAGTCAAATTCTAAGGATTAAATGCTTTAAGATATTCATGCATTTATTAGCTATGATTGGCTTTGCACTATAATTAGAAGAATTAACTTAGACAGGCGCATACCTAACCATCTAAATATTTTTTTTATAAAAAAAATAATCGACAAATGTACAATATATGTATAATTATATATAATTAGTCTGTAATTTACGTATAGTAATTAAAAAAAGTAAACAGTAAATATGATTGACTATACGTGGAATAATCCTTATAATTAAATGTCATGGGTAGTATATACAAAAATCTGAAAAACGGCTAACTTAAAATATAAGTATAAAATTCTTAAAATTATTCTTAGCAATGATCATCGAAGAAATAACAATTAAAAATGATAAACCTAGCTTACCTAAGTTTGTCGATAAGTTCTTGATAACTTGCTTTTGTTTTATATATCCATTAACTATTTAATCATAGCGTTTTCTTTTTTAATGGGTCATAAGTGGTGCAATTCTGAATTGGTAAAAATTTTACCTGCACCGATATTTATACTAAATCATATCAACATATTATGTTAAGTAATTTAATAAAGTTATAATATTACTAGTTAACCATGATTAAGTGAAAGAATTTTATGTGCAAATATAAGTGAAAGAACTCAACGAATAACGTCGAAATTCCACCTGCCTAACTAACGGGAAGAATAGAACTAATAAAATATAATTATCAAAAAGATGTTTGAAGTGTGTACGCACAAAAAAATTGTATTTCATGTGCTATTTTATATCTATAAAATATAGGGCAAATGGCCAAATATATCCCTATACTATAAGAGAAGGTACTCTGGAGTCGTGAGGGGTAAGAATGGAGTGGGTATCTTGGTGGATAGGGATCTTAGAGAGTCTGTGGTTGAGGTTAGGTGAGTGAATGATAGGCTAATGTTTATTAAGCTGGTGATCGGTGAGTGCACCCTCAATGTCGTTAGCGCCTACGCGCCGCAAACGGGCTTGGATGAGGAGGTTAAGAGGCGCTTTTGGGAGGGCTTGGACGAGATTGTGCGTAGTATTCCACCTACTGAAAGGCTATTTATTGGAGGGGATTTTAATGGCCATATTGGGGCGGCTGCTGATAGTTATGGCGAGGTGCATGGTGGCTTTGGCTATGGGGATAGGAACGGAGGAGGTACTTCGCTATTAGACTTCGCTAAGGCTTTTGAGCTGGTGATTGCGAACTCGACTTTTCCGAAGAGGGAGGAGCATTTGGCTACTTTCCGGAGTTCGGCGGTGAAGACTCAAATCGATTACCTTCTCCTCAGAAGGTGTGATAGAGGGTTGTGCAAGGATTGCAAGGTTATCCCGGGAGAGACCCTCGCGACTCAGCATAGGCTCTTAGTGATGGACATCGGCATTATGATGAAGAGGAAGAAGAGGTATGCTCGTGGACGTCCGAGGATTAGATGGGGAGCTTTAACCAAGGACAAAGCCCAGGAGTTGGAGGGGAGGTTATCCGCTATGGGAGCTTGGAGGAGTAGTGGAGACGCGAGCACTATGTGGTCGACGACGGCGAACAATGTGAGGGAGGCGGTGAGAGAGGTGCTAGGTGTATCGAAGGGTTTTTCTGGCAGGCATCAAGGAGACTGGTGGTGGAATGACACAATCCAAGGTAAAGTGGAGGCGAAGAAGGTAGCGTACGCGAAGTTAGCAGGGAGCACAAGCGAGGAGGAGAGGAGTGCGAATAGAGAGAGGTTCAAAGTGGCTAGGAAGGAGGCAAAACTGGCGGTCACGGAGGCTAAAAATGCAGCGTTTAGCCGTCTATACGAGGATTTAGGGGAGAAAAGCGGGGAAAGGAAGTTGTTTCGGCTGGCTAAAGCGAGGGAGAGGAAGGCCCGGGATCTGGACCAAGTAAGGTGCATCAAAGATGAGGATGGTAGAGTATTGATGGGAGAGTCCCAGATCAAGCAGAGATGGCAGACGTACTTTTATGGTCTTCTGAATGAGGAGGGGGACCGGGATATAGCGCTAGGGGACTTGGGGCATTCGGAGAGTCTCCGAGATTTTAGGTATTGCAGGCGCATTAAGGTGGAGGAGGTCGTGGGGGCGTTACGTAAGATGAGTAGGGGTAGAGCGACCGGGCCAGATGAAATTCCGGTTGAGTTTTGGAAGTGTGTGGGTCGAGTAGGATTGTAATGGTTGACTGGGTTGTTCAATGTAATTTTTAGGACAAAGAGGATGCCGGATGAATGGAGGTCGAGTACAGTGGTACCGTTGTACAAGAACAAAGGTGATATCCAGTGTTGTAACAATTATAGGGGTATCAAGTTACTTAGCCATACCATGAAAGTCTGGGAGAGGGTGGTGGAGGTGAGGGTGAGGAAGACGAAGTCTATATCCGACAATCAGTTTGAGTTCATGCCAGGCCGCTCCACTACGGAGGCTGTCCACCTTATTAGGAGGTTGGTGGAACAGTACAGGGATAAGAAGAAGGATCTGCACATGGTGTTTATTGACT